TCCCTCGTACTAAGTCAAAATAAAGCTACTTTTGACTGGGAATATCGAAAACAAATCATAGGTGGTTTCTGAAATCATTTTATTTATAAAACATTTCACATTATGTTTGCTTATCGTTATAATTTTCACAAAAAGGAAATAAACATTTTAATCAATCATTAAAATTGTCGTCATACAATAAAACAAATTAGATATTATTTTATCTATCACTATGAATACTTTTTGTGACGGATAAGCCAATAAAAGGATGAATCGAGAATAAACTGAAAAGGTTAAATATCAGTCACTTAGGACCATTGTTATTTAACATATACATGAACAACCTTACTTCTGTTTTTCATTTCAGTAAATATGTGTTATATGCTGATGATCTAAAGATATTTACTATTGTTAGAAATGTAAATGACGGTGTAAAACTTCAAAGCGATTTGGAATCTCTGCAAAAGTATTGCACTGAAAACAGTATCTTCCTGAATTTAACAAAATGTCATTACATGAGGCTTACTAGAAACATAGCGAACACTATAGATTTCAGATATAAGATAGGGACGGCAGAACTGGAAAGGCTTCATGTAGTAAAAGACCTAGGGGTATACATTGATGAGAAACTCTCATTCATCATCCACGTAGAGCACATCGTCAATGATGCAAATAGAACACTAGGGTTCATAAACAGGACATGCAGAGAATTTACGAACCCAAAAACGCTTCTTTCATTGTACTACGCTTATATACACAACAAACTGATGTTTGCATCAGTAATATGGAATCCGTCTTACAATGTACATATAGTCAGGATAGAAAGAATTCAACACAAATTTTTGAAGATGTAAGCACATAAAACTCACCAACCTGTTACAGATCATCATTATACGCAAATTATGAAACAGTTCAATATGATTTCCTTTAAAGATAGAAGAACGATTTCTGACATTTGCTGTGTCCATAAATTGTTGAATGGCCTCACTGACTGTCCGGATCTTTTGGCAAACTTGAACTTTAACACTCCTGATAGAACGTTTAGAACCTATCATCTGTTTAGAATACCATTCCGTTCAGTAATACGGAATCCGTCTTACAATGTACATATAGTCAGGATAGAAAGAATTCAACACAAATTTCTGAAGATGTTAGCACATAAAACTCACCAACCTGTTACAGATCATCATTATACGCAAATTATGAAACAGTTCAATATGATTTCCTTAAAAGATAGAAGAACGATTTCTGGCATTTGCTGTGTCCATAAATTGTTGAATGGCCTCACTGACTGTCCGCATCTTTTGGCAAACTTGAACTTTAACACTCCTGATAGAACGTTTAGGACCTATCATCTGTTTAGAATACCGTTCCGTTCAGTAATATGGAATCCGTCTTACAATGTACATATAGTCAGGATAGAAAGAATTCAACACAAATTTCTGAAGATGTTAGCACATAAAACTCACCAACCTGTTACAGATCATCATTATACGCAAATTATGAAACAGTTCAATATGATTTCCTTAAAAGATAGAAGAACGATTTCTGACATTTGCTGTGTCCATAAATTGTTGAATGGCCTCACTGACTGTCCGGATCTTTTGGCAAACTTGAACTTTAACACTCCTGATAGAACGTTTAGAACCTATCATCTGTTTAGAATACCGTTCCGTAGACCCAATCTTGGTCTTAATTCCCCTTTGGTCAGGGCTCAAAAAAATCATAATAATTTCTGTAATATAGATTTATTTAACATTAGCTTGACCTCCCTGAAAAAGGCTTTAAAGTATGAGTATTACAGCTCTATGGCAGACTAAAATAGAAATGTTTTATTTTTTCACATAACTCAAGTTATCACCTCCAATATCATTTCTGGTATAATTTCAATTTAATTTTGATTTCAGTTTTAATTAAACGTAAGTAAATGTTAAATTATGTATACTTCTTTTATTAAAAAAGTTAAATTAATAGTTTATTGCTTATAATTAGAACTACTCACTCAGTTTATGTTGTTACAACAATATCGGAGGATAAAAAATATTAACATTGAAGTATTCAATAATGTAATATATGTATATGTACACGATATTTTATGTAAGTTTAGTTTTAGTTCACTGAGGGTGTGTGTTGGGTTTACATGTTAACACCCCAAACTGTATATAAATAAATAAATAAATAAATATATTAATCAGTAGTTAAGCTTGCACAGTGAACCTGTTATGACACTTAGAATTATGCAAAAACTTCCGTGCACGACAAAGGGCGTAGGTTAAAACCACTGTTCGCTACAAGTCGAAACGGAAATCTATCAAAACAGTTTTTGTCTGATTTTTTCAGCAAAAAGTGGTTTTAGTGAGTTTTGACTTATACACAGTGCGTCCAACACTACCTATATGTCATTTAACACTCAAAAACGTTACATCTTATTTTCTAAAAATTTCGCGATTACAATATTTTCCTCGCTAAAAAGCAGTCAGACGATCAGTCCACTAACAGCGTTAAATCGAAACGCTTGAAATATTGGTTTATAAGTAGTAGGCTTCCAATACATGTACTTTCATGTCAAGATGGATAATAAATGTTATAATTAATATTATTATTCAGCATGTGGAGTAAAAGTCAAACTTCACTTCATTTACTCGTTACTCCATCCATACTCCTGTCTGCGTCTCCTTCTATCCATTACCCTAACGTACGTCTGGCACCGTGCTGCTTTCAATCGGAGAATAAGCTGGAAACACCCCTAATATATCTGCTATATCGCAGCCAACTCCGATGCAACTCCTCGATTTAGGCACGCCAGCGACACGGAAATATCGTTGCATTTGTCACTGACTTGTGTATGTGTATGTATACGTGTCGCTTGTGTTTCTGTATATCGCCGAAAACTGCGATACCGCGCGTCACGTCGACTGCTATTGACTTGCCATGCTACTCCGGTCGAGCTAGCGACATCAAACCAAATCAGATCATGTTCATTTCCAAAGACGGGAAAAAGGAACAAGTCAAGAAATATGTACAACTTTATGCTCAATATACAGGGTGGCGCAAATTGGAGACTGTGTGTGGTGTTAGTCGACGTACTGTCCAACGGATTCTAAAGGCCCATAGTTTTCATCCGTATAAAATTCACCTGGTACAAGAACTTAATAAGACGATTTTGATCGGCGATTACAATTTTGTGAAGATGTGAGTGAACGAATTATAAACGACGAACATTTTCTAATTCCGGAATATATCATGCGGTTCATACACAGCAGCCACAACAATTATATTTTTGGGCTGGTAACTTTGTTTTTGGCGATCATTTAGTTGGTCCTTTTTTCTTACCTGGAAATTTGACCGGTGAAATGTATTTGGAATTACTGGAAGACGCCATAGAACCTGCATTAACAGCCATAATTGAAAATCAGGATGATCGGCGGTACATTGCGAATAGGTTGATGTTCCAACAGGATAGTGCTCCACCACATTACGCATTACGTGTTCGACAATATTTAGATGAGACGTTTCCAGATCGATGGATTGGTAGAAGAGGTGCCGTTGAATGGCCCCCAAGATCGCCAGATTTATCACCTTTGGATTTCTTTATG